CAAGTTCTGGGCCTCTAGATCCAGCAGACAAGCACACACTGAATGCCAACGTGGAAGTCCATCAGAATAACAAATGAACTACAAAAATATAAATATCTGTCTTGGTGGTGTCATGGGATAGAAGTTCCTGCCTGCTTTGGGAACAGGAGAGAGTCCAATTCTGCATTTTGTCCTCTTCTGGAGAGAGGCCCTACCTGGACTCAGGCCCACCAGGCTTCAGGAACTGAAAGAGCCAGCAGGCAAGGACATCAGAAGCATCACTGCTGCGCCAGGGGCTCTCTATGCACAGAGAGCTGAGAGATGACCTCACTCTCTTTTTTTATTTATTATGATTGAGGTAAAATTCACATAACACAAAATTCACCATTTTAAAACTGTACAGTTCAGTGACTTCTAGTACATTCACAATGTTGTGCAACCATCACTGCTATTTCAGAACATGTTTACTACAAAAGGAAATCTTGTGTCCATTAGGTACCCATTCGCACTCCCTTCCCTCCCAGCTCCTGGAAGCAGCAAATCTACCTACTGCTTCTATGGATTTGCCTATTCTGGTTATCTCATATAGATGCAAACCTATAATATGTGGCCTTTTGTACCTGTCTTCATTCACTTAACATAATGTATTCAAGGTCCATCAGAACTTCATTCCTTTTGATGGACATGCCATTTATCACTTAATGGACATTAAGTTTGCTTCCACTTTGGGGCTATTATAAATATTTGGCAGCAATAAACATCTGTGAGCAAGTTTTTGTGTGGACATATTTTCATTTCTCTTGGATACATATGTGGCCGGGATTTAAATTGCTGGGTCAAGTGTTTGACTTTTTTTTTTTTGAGGAACCCACCTTTCCATTTTTGAGGAATCAGCTGCTCTAGAAAAGCCCCTACTGGGACCCCAGACTTAATAACTGAATCCCTGTCCAGTTCCCCCAGGAGCCAGACTAATTGCAAAATAGCCTTTCATCTCCTGCTGCAACCTGTGTGGCTGAACCCTAGAAACTGGCAAGGGGTGATGGGGAATTAAGAATGACACACAAACATTTAAAAAAGAAAGCTGGGACTAAGTGGGATGCTGACCTCTGATGGAGGAACAGTGACCCAGAGTTAGCACATCAAATTTATTATATAGGTTTTATCATCAAAAGATTATTTGTGGGAAAGTTTTTGCAAAGCAGGCAACCTGAAGGATGCAGGACTGGCAAGACGTTAGGGTTATCTTGTTATGCTCAGAAATATCTATCCCCAGCAACTAGTGCCTGAGCTCAAGGTCAAGATTGATATAATTCCATTTCTTTGCACAGAACTTCCTCAGGCAGGGCATCCCCTTAGCTCCTGGGCAATCTTGTCCTGCACCTTTGCACAGAAAGTTCCTAGGGCAAAGCATAGCCACAGCTCTGAGGCAGTCAGAGACTATGATCAAGTTACTGCTCTCCACAATCTCCTAGGGCACTAGGTACTGCCTTTGAGGAGCAGGGACCACAATTGAGAAAAAGCTATTTCTCTGCCCTGGTCATGTTCACTACCCAGGGGCCAGACAGTAAGATGAAGGCCATCCTGGGTATAGTGCCTCTGGGCAAGGACATGAGGGGAAAAGCAGATCAGAGAGCACTGGGAGGGCTTCTCCAGGAAGTTATGTATGAGGTAGGACTTGAAGAATATGTAGTTTTCTAGGGTTGGAGCAAAGACAAGTGTAAATTTTCAGGCTGCTGAAAATAGCATGTGCAAATGATGGGAAGATGTAATGAGAAGACACACCATGTTCAGGGAGCTAGAATTCAGAGAGTGTTTTGTGTTTTTTACTGCTGGCATTGAGTCTGAGGAGGGGGAGTAACAGGTTATGGAGGATGGGCTGGTTGAACGTGAAGGCCTGTGAGCCTGCCTCTGGAGCTGCCAAGACCCTGCCTTGTTCTGTCTGTCAATCACCAGTCTGGTCCTGCTCCTCAGACTCATGCTTTGAAGCTGAGCTGTAATTGTTGCTCTCAGACCTTCAACCTGCCTAGACCTCTGCATATCACGTAACTCCAGACCGAACCCAACTTGGCCTTTGTCTGCCTTGTATCTATCCCTGCTGTGCCCTGCTGGTCCACATGTTCTACCCCAGGGGATTCTCTAGCCCTCTGGCTTCTGCAGAAAGAAGCCCTCATTTCTTTTCTTTTTTATTGATACATTATAATTGTACACAGTGGTGGGATTTGTTAGTATATATGCACAATATAACAATATAATTTGGCCAATATCCCTCCCCAGCACTTCCCCCTTCCCTCTCCCTTCCCATACCTTGGTCCCCTTCCTCTATTCTACTGATCTCCCTTTGCTCTTCATGCGATCCCCCAACATACACCTTTCCTTTCGTTTCTTTTTAGCTTCCACATGTGAAAGAAAACATACAGCCCTTGATAGAAGCTCCCATTTATGATCAATAAAATGGTTCCCTTGAATCTGGCCAGTTTCTTCTCCTTCCTACTTGCCAATGAGATCCAGACTCACTGTTTTTCTTCATCTATTCACTGTTTTTCTTCATCTTTTCTTTATTTTTCTCCATCATTCTTCCATTTGTAAGTGGAAGAAAGTAGAGATGCCCCACATGGCATTCTTACCTAAAGTATCTAGAAGACAGGATGCGTGAGGAGCCTGTGATTCCCAGCTGCACTGAAGTGAGGGCTGCAGGGAGCACATCTTGGGAGGAGTGCCATTGAAGGCATCAGGGATCCCTTCATTCTCAGCCTGATGGGTTTCCCCACACAGCTTTTAGATTCTGACTCTGTTACTAACTAATTGGTTGAATTTTTGCAGAACCTGCAGGAAAGGCCCCAAAATTAGAAAATAGACATCTAAGATGTCTATTTCTATCATCTAGAAAGCTAGTAAATTGGAACCCTTCTATACTGCTGGGGGGAAGATAAAATGGCCCAGTCTCTGTGGAAAGCACATTTTAAGGAACAGCACTAGAGCTGGTGACAGAGGGAAACAGTCACAGGCTGAAAGGAGGAGGCTGAAGCCAGGAGTTGGCAAACTGAAGCCCACAGTCAAATCCAGCCCACCACCTGTTTTTGTATGTCCAGGAGCTAAGAATGGATTCTATATTTTCTAAATGTTGATTTAAAAAATCAAAAGAAGAAGAATATTTTATGACTTATAAAAAATATGTAAAGTTCAAATTCAGGGTTCATAAAGTTTTATTTTTTAAATAATAATCTATAGTTTTTTCTCTTATTATATAATTATGTACATAATATCCTTAATTTTTCTTCTTGGATCTAAAAACTCAAGTTATTTACCATGTGGCTTTTTACAAAAACAGTTTTCTAACACCTTCTCCAAATTGTGTCAGCATGCTTTGATTTTATGTGCTCCAGGATCCTCACCTCAATAATCCACGTAAGGCCAAGCAGCCTAACTGTCCCTTCTTGATTACCAGTCAAGAAGGAAAAGAGCCACCTTTGACACCCCATCCCAATGCCAAGTTCAATACTCTTGTCTCCAACAGTCTCCCCGCCCCCATCTTGTTATCAAAGCCTTTGGAAAATCCGAAGCAACACCAACTCACACAAAGATTGGCAACTCCCACCGTGACCAATGATAAAGTGTCCTAAATCTCTTATTTTCTGAGTATCTTACATGCCAGGCACAGGGCTGAATATGTTAAAGACACATCCCAAACACATGGCACAACAGGCACATTGGTCCCTTTTCCTCCCTTTATACTCTTCTGTTTTCATCTGAGTGGAAAGGGAATTTTTAGCATAACACAGCAAACTTACACTAATTTATGTAGCATTGATCATGAATAAGGCATTGTTTTAAATAAGGGTTTCTTGACCTTGATACTATTAACATTGGGGCTGGATACTTCTTGGTTGTGGGTTGTCTTTTGCACAATAAGATGTTTGAGCATCCCTGGTTCCTAGTCACTAGATGGAAACCAGCAGCACTTTTCCAAAACCAAAAATGTTTTCAGACACTGCCAAAAGTCCCCTAGGTACAGGACAGGATATGCCCACAATTAAGAATGTCCCACTACTCTAGCTAAACCCAGTGTCACATCCCTATACCAAGAGACTCCAGAGGCTGAGGCAGGAGGACAGCAAATTTGAGGCCAGCCTTGGCAACTTAATAAGACCCTGTATCAAAATGAAATTAAAAAGGTTGGGGATGTAGCAAAGTGGTAGATTCCCATGACACTCAATCCCTAGTACCAAAAACAAGTAAAAGAACATCATCAACAAAAGAATCATTACCCTAAGTATTTTACAAATAAACTCACAAAAATTCTATGCAATGAACAATCATTGGCATAGCCAGGCTGAGTAACTACTCAAGGCCACACAGTTGGTTACTGCCAGAGTAGTCTGATTCCTGCATGTTCCTACTACTAGAAATTTTAGCAAGTCTCAGAAGCCACAGAGCCTACACTGGCATAGAGAAGCATAGGGGCTCTCCCTTCTGCTCTTGTAGGATAGAATCACATTGAGGGCTCTGACTTTGACCACAGGGAGCATCAGCAAAATAAAACCAGAATCTGAGAGAGAGAAATGGGCTAGGTAAAGGAAGCTGAGACAGGGCCAGGGCATAAAGACCTCTGAGCATCTGTCTAAGGCTGACTCTGTGTGGCCTGGTGGAAAAAAAACAACTCATATGGCCCATGATCCTCTGGACTATGGGTGTTCATGAACAGCTATGGTAATTCCCTCCCTCTCTACCCTGTCCCTCCCTGCCGCCCTCCTCTTCCTCCTCCTCCTCCTCCTCCTCCTCCTCTTCTTCTACTTCTTTTTCTTCTATTGATAATGAGCTATATACCTGCCTTTTCAGATATTGTGGGTTATAACATGAGATATATGGATATTAAAGTAAACTGAAGCTCAGCTTAATGAAGTAAAACACACCTCTCACTGGAGGGACCCTCTAGGACAGCTGGGATTTTGTTTCAGTGACTGCTATTGGCTGCAGATAAATCAGATGCAGAGTGAATTCACTAAATAGGAAATCATTCTTACCCATCATGGAAGGGTCAGATGTAATCACTCTGGGACCACTAGCTGGTTTTCCAACACAGTTGCCATTCCAGCTTTCTTCTGTCTTTGAGTTTCCTCATCTGTAAAATTGGGAAAAAGAATAGTATTCACAGTGTTGTTGTGGGGATAGCACATGTGAAACACTTAGAACAGTATCTGGGGCATGATAAGCTCTCAATAAATATTAGCTATTTGGGGCTGTTGCTATTTCCTGAATATCTACTACTTGCCAAATCCTCTGCATTTTCTTCTCTAACCCTTGTAACAAATGCATGAAGGAAACAAGTGTCCCCCAGGAGGTACGTGTTTAGGAGGGGTCCCAGGCTCCACTGCCTATTATTTGGCCATTTCATCTTAACTTCACTCCCTTGAATCATGAATACTTCTAATCCTCTGGAGTTTCTTTAAAGAAAATATCTGTAAGAAAGGCCTTGAAGGTCTATTCAGCAAGTAGCTTAGCAGTTGATACTGGGGCAGGGATTAGTGGAATCAGCATACAGGGATGTCAAAGACAAAGGTTCTACCTCCCACTTCTGGTAAGTCTTGCCCTGGGTTCAGTTTCAAGTTCTGAGTGAATATTATAATCTAATTTCTACTCATTCTTGCTTGATCTGAAAATTGGCTCAACTGTCCCAGGTATTAAAAGAAATGTGTTAATGGTGTTTCAGTCATAAAGCAGAGGCTGTTGCACATGGAGCAAGCAGTGATCAATTAGGTCAAGTTGAATTGACCTAGAAATTCAGGGGGAGAAGAGTTTCTAGGGAAAGAGGGCAACTAGAGTTTGCTGAAGTTTGGAGCAGCTGTCCCCAGAATAAGGATAAACAGGCCAGAGGAAAGTCAAGTACAACGACCAACCAGGATCTTGACTTTAGGGAGACCCCTTGTCCTTCAAGGGACATTAATATCCAAGGCAGCCAGCAGGGGTGAAGGCATGAGCCCAGTGGCAGAGGCTAAAACAGACCAGAACCCCTCTGACAGCCCCTCTCCACTGTGGCAGCAAGACAGAGCCAGTAGGGACCCCCCCAATCAGATTTAGTTTGACTACTGGAAGTGCAGCCTAAGTGAAATGATATATTCCTGGAAGTGCTCTGAAAAATGTAAAGACTTATTTCCATAGAATAAATTCTACTTCCAGAAATATTTCCTACAGAGATAATGTCAGACAGATTTTGTATTGTGGCATTGTTTGTAATACTAACAAATTTGGGATCAACCAAAGCATTCATTTAAATAGTTAATTAAAAACAAAGATGCACACCAGAATTTACTAACACAAAAATATGCTTCTGACATGTAATTACATGGTGGAGAAAGCACATTCCAAAGCAGTATGTTAGAATATGTACTATTGATATGAAAATAAAGAAATATATATATAAACACACACACACACACATTTATAAAACCATTGGCAGAAAGGCAAGAATATGGACAAACCCAGAGATGCTTGAAACATTGTTACCAAAATGTTGCCATTTTCTTATCTTCCTATAAAGTTCCCAAAGAGCCAGATTTCTCCCTGTTGGAGTGACAATTTAAAGATAAGCGAGGAAGGAGGCCATAATGATCCATATGGTCATGGATTAGAGTTGGAGACATCAGTAAGAACTTATGCTTAATTATATACAGATTGTTACATACTGAAATATTTATAGATCTTTGTTCTGTATGTGTTGTTAGGCACATTACAATTGCTCTGCCAGCTGAGAAGGTCTGGAAGAAATGATATTCCCATAGTGAGCAGCCATCTAGAACCAAGATTGATCAGTCTTTCTCTCTCTGTCTTTTCCTTCTTTCCTTCCTTCCTTCCTTCCTTCCTTCCTTCCTTCCTTCCTTCCTTCCTTCTTCCTACCTCTAGACTATTTGGCAGTGTTTGTTTAAATTGATTATATGCAGAACTTGTGACACAGTAATTCTATTCCTAGCTATATACCCTATAGGGAAATGTGCACAAGAGTACTCATAGTAGAAGCATTTGTAATAACCCAAATATAAAATAACTCAAATGTCCCTCAACAGTAGACTAGATAAATAAACTATAAAATGTGGAATTTTCTTATAATAGCATACTATATGCAATGAAAAATGAGTAAATTAAAACTACATTACACAAATTTCAGATCTTTGTTTCTAATGTGATGCTCCAACAAAAGGAAGAAGGATTTCTTGAAGAAAGGGCTGGCTCTAAGACTGGGGCAAGAAATATCCTATAATAATAATAATGAAAATAATAATAATAATAAGTATGGTTTAGTCCAAAGTACCTTGTAAGGGCAGAAAATAAGGAAATATGTATTGTTTAATGACAGGGACACATGTTGTTAGGCAGTTCTATCATTATGTCAATGATTTAGCTTACATAAACCTACATGGTATAATTCACTCACTCAACCGGCCTTTTGATATAAACAGGAGGCACAGTAAACACCAAATATATGAAGCACCAAATCTTATGTTGGTAGAACACAACATACTATTTTACAGTAAACTTTTTTTATAAGTAGAAGGAATACACTCAGATAATGATAAAAAGGATGGTTTAGAAAAGACACACACCAGTTGCAGTCATTTATTATCACTATCAATTATTATGTACTATACATAATTTATGTCCTTTGCTTTCATATGAGTGACAGTGCAGTAGATTTGTTTACATCACCACAAACGCCTGGGTAATGTCTTGAGCTACAACATTATGATGGCTACATCATTGGTAATAAGACTTTTTCAGTTCCATTATAATCTTATGGAGCCACTGTCATATTTGATCTGTCATTGACCAAAATGTTGCGTGACAGTCATAAAAAATGCACATAACGGCAGCGTGTCAATGAAGTTCAGGAGCCAGCAGACATAACTCCCAGTGGTCAATCTGGAACAATTTAAACAACATCACAAAATCATACTGGTCAATGACCAAATATAAAATAAGTATCTATGAGACCATACTGAAAAACTAAGTGATTTAAAAAATTAACAAATGCTAGGGAGGGAGGAGAGGGGAATGACCCATGCAGAAGAATTCCACATAATTTTTGTACATAATCTGCCCTCAAGGAACATAACTCTTTATTTCTCGAGTGTGGTTGTGCTTAGTGACTTCTTTTCAAAGGGTGCAGTATGGTAATAAAGAAGAAGAAGAAAAACAGAGTAGCTGTACAGTGGAGGGATCTGACAAATACACCTCTGCCTTGGCAATCAACATCAACATCAACAATCAAGAATCACGTTGATATTCCGCCTTGATATGATGTGATGAAAATGATACTTCACCCCTATGATTTTCCTCCTCAGAAGCCATAACCCCTGTCTAATCATGAGGCAAATACCAGACAAATTCTCGTAGAGGAGCACTCTACAAAATACCTGCCTCATGTTGCTCAAAAATGCCAAGGGCATCAGCAATAGGGAGAGATTGACCAACTGCCACAGGCAAGAGGTGTCCAAAACCATTCCAAACATAAGGCTTCTTTTTAAAGTTCCCACAGAATGACTTTTCCTTCACAAAAGAATCCCTCCCCCAAAAAAACTTCTATCTCAACTTTTAACAATATAGAAAATCAGTAAAAGCTTTGAAAATAAAGCTTTCTCTTAAAGAGTTTCCAATAACTTGGATAAAATTCTTACATAGGGCTTAAGGTCAAAGTTCTTGGGGTTTTTTTGGGGGGGAGACAGAAAGATTTCCCCAAATATATCAGAGGGAGACACAATCCCAATGGGGATGGGGTGGGCTGAAGAGGGCTGGAGCTCCCTTTGTTGGGCTCTTCTGCTTTCTGCATGTCAGCCTCTTTTTGTGAGAAGGCAAAGCCAACCGTTTCCAGCTGTATTTGCAATATTTTCATAGGCTCCTGGTCCTTCTGTGCTCTTGGTCACTGTATGTCCAAGGAGAGACCCACCCAAAGGAGCCTTGCAGCGAGGCCATGGAGTCTCCAGATTGTCAAATACCAGGGTCAAATTCCCTCAGGCTTCTGATGCACTGGAGATAATGGACATTTCATCGTGAGCACATCTGGATGGCACTGGTCCCTGAAACCTCCTGAAGATTCCTCTGGCCCCTACGCCAAGTGAGACATGAGAATCTTGAGAGGCTGCACTTCTATGAGTCAACTGATGGGGGGCAAGCTTTGGAATTGTTTTATTTCTCCTTATCGATTTTATATGTATGCAGCTCAATTAAGTAGAATTATAACAAATTGTTTGCCCAATGACCTGTGAAACACACTGTGAAAAATAATTCTTCTGACTAGTCAGAGAAGTTCCTAAATTTAGATTAAGAGACGAGGTCAGAAAATGACATCTTTGAAAAACCAAAAATAACAAGAATCAATATTCCACCCCATGGCAACTTCTCATCCCCTGTAAGTCATTCACCCTCCGAGATGTTTGGCAAACAAATTACAGATAAGACCTGGAACGACTCCCAAATCCTGTCAAGGGCGCTGGGGAATCTTCTGTATTTTCCACAGGACACAACTAATCTCCAAATGCACTTTAGCTTATTGAGACAAGCTATGGCTGTGACATTGTACCATGCTAATGACGAATACAAATGTGAAGTTCTGCATGGAGCCTAGAGATGGGGTAATTGAAGAAGTCCTGGTCAGGGCTTTGAAAATAGGTCTAACTTTTTAAATAGTTTGACTAAATTTATGGTTTGGGTTACCAGAAAAGAATCTTTTCCAATGGAACTAGGACAGTTCTTCTAGTTCTATTGCAGAATGCCCCACAAAATCAGGCAACCCTGCAAATCCCCCAAGGGAACTTGGGAAGACACTAGCAGGGAGGTGATCCAGGTAGATGGGCGTAGTATTCATTTACCACAAAGCTGGGGATCTCATTTTAGAAGTCCTATCTTGATGTGTTTATAAATCCACATCCTTCTGGTTGAGGAAATGTTTCTCCACACTCCAGAGCTAAGACACACCCGTCGGTACTGAAGCAAGTCAATTCCAAAAGTGGAAGATGCTGAACAAAGATGTCCTCACTGAGGTCCACTCCAAGAAGCCTACTTAGGCAGCCAGCTGAACCTTTTAATGCTTCCTCACAGGAATCAGTTCAAAAAAGAATGTACTGCATATTA